TGTGTTTGCAGTGAGCAACCTTGAGGGATGAAGTAAGCTCTCTTACCAAAGAGCAGCCTTGCTGACCACTCACCATCAAAGTGGCAGATTCCACAGCTCACTGAACTCAGTTCAGTCACAAACCTGCGGCATCCCACTCAGCGTCCAGCTAGGCCTAGCTCCATGCCCTCCATGGGACTTGGGGCACATAGAAAACCTCTCCTGCTCATCATGAGCTGTTCGTGCTGCTTGCTGCTGAGAGTAACAAAGTCTTCTGCCTGCATCCCAAAACAGTATTAAGCTAACTGGTTAACTTGCTAGTAGGGTGAAATCCCAGACCCTTCACAGCGCCTGCCTGTTGTGGCGACAAAGCTGAGGTGCTGATGGAAACACGGCATTCTGAAAGAGAAAGGACAAGAGCCTTCACTGGAGGGTTCCTGGAAATAACCAGACCCCTGCGACCAGGCAGAAAATGCTCTCACCTAGGCAGGGGTGAGGGTCGGAGGGAGAGTAAGGGTCTCTCACTCTCCTGTGTGTCTAATGAGGCTGAGCTACAAAAGGTAGGGTCGAAACAGGCCACCCAGGTGGTACTTTGGTCCTGGCACATTCTCCTCTGGGTGGGAGAGGGAAGACTGTTACCATGACAATGGAGCATCAAGCTCCACACCTCAGTCCAAAGGTATGCAGAGCCGCTGTGGCTGATGGGTCAAGGGGTCTCCAAAGCTGAAATAATGGTGTCAGCACTGAGGTTACAGAACTTTGGGTAGGCTAAAAACATTAGAAACTTGTTTGCTGAGCCTCGTGGTGGGAGGCCCTGTGAAACTGAGAGTTAAATTCAAAGGCTAGCTTACTGGCAAGAAGCTGTCTCTCTCCCAACTTCAGCTGCTTTGGGGAAGGCTGAGGGCTCTGGGGCACTTCAGGGAGGGGAGAGGAGGGACTCAAATGTTTATGGCTCTGTTGGATGGTGGGACCCAAGTCCACGTATTCCCATGCAGATGGAGGATGAGCTGAGCCTCAGGTTGGCCCGCGTTGCTGAGAATGCAGGTTTGGAGGAGAAAGCAGCCACTTGACTAGACCTGACCAGCTCAGGGGAGGCCTGCATGGAGGCCTTACCAACTCAGGAGACGGAAAGTAACCCATAGGAAGGACTGAACATACAAAGTCCTAACTCAAAGCGGCCGCTGGTAGTCACGTGCTAGGCCAGTATCTTCCTTGACAAAGGTCAGTCTTGGCCTTAATTGAGCCTGTCTGTTGTCTTTTTGCATCTCAGATAACATACCTTTGAAATTTCAGAGTAATTATCTTCCCCAGACCCTCAGGACACACCTGCCACAGAACCTTGCATTGTCACCTGGTTCCCTGCATCCCACCTCTCTGTGCTGTAAAGGTTAATTATTAACTACCCTATACCCGCCTGTGTAAAAGCAGTATGTGTCTCTGCAGTTTGCTTTTTATCCAATGCCCCAGAGTTCCCCAGTTTGATTTCTCCTGCTGCCCTAATCAATCACCAATGGATTTCATGTAACCCTCCTCTTGCCTCCTCCTATTATTCTAATGTAGAAAATAAGCTCCAAAACTGCTATTCTTCATAGCCTTTTCTCTATCTGCTGAAATTTTGCTACCTGGCAATTTTCCTCATTTTGGCCAAATGAACTCATAAAAATTCTGTACAGGTGGATGTTTTTACGACAAACAGGGCAGATGAATGGCACTAGTAGAGGCTAAAAGAATAATGTCCCTGAACCCCAGTGCTCTCAGAGGCCACGGACACACACAGGAGGGACAGCACCAATGCTGGGATCAGGAGCCAAAGGACAAAAGCTTCCTAGCCACTTTACACTCCCCAGTTTCCCCAGCTTGCAGGGAGACAGAATAATTACCTGAAACTGCTAAGATAACCCGTGAATTATCTATGTTAAACTCTTTCACAGGTTCCCAGAGGGAAAAAAAGCACTGGAATTCAACTGATAGGCTTTGAACAAAGTTTGCAGTGAGGAAGGGAAATTAAAAGTGACTTTGAGTTGCTTCAGAATCCCGCAGTTGTTTCCACCATTATATAAATGTATAATGAAATTGATGTGTTATTTGCTTACATTGTAAATATTCATAGTGATGCGAGGACACCCATTCAGTGATTCCCTGACCCCTTCCAGTTGGTCTAATAGAAACAATACAAAATTCCAGAGAGAAAAACAGAAATCACAGCTGATCTCCAGAAAGGCCCAGTACTGCAGTGTCACCTGCTGGACACTGGCACCAAATACATCCTGTATTAGTTTCTAGGGCTGCCGTAACAGCGTGGCTTAAGCAACAGAAATTTACTGTCTCAGTTGTGGAGTTTGGAATCTAAATTAAGGTGTCAACAGGGTTGGTTCTTCACGAGGGCTTTGAGGGTAGGATCTGTTTAGGCCTCTCCTTGGTTTGTAAATGGCCAACTTCATATTCACATGACATTGTCCCAGTACGCCTGCCTCTTTGTCCAAATTTCCCCTTTTTATAAGGATGCTAGTCTTATTGGATTACGGCCCACCCATATGACTTCATTTTAACATGATTATCTCTGTGATGGCTCCATCTCCAAATAAGGTCACATCCTGAGGCAGTGGGGGTTAGGACTTTAACATGAGAATTTTAGGGGAGGGTCACAATTCAACCTGTAACATACCCCTTTCACTAATGTGAGGCAGCTGCTGGCGTACTGCAGCGCTCTTGTTAAAAATGAACACCTGACCCACGGAGGTCTTATGACTCCGAGGCCTGACATCTCCATTTCGGGGTGGGTTAACTAGGACAGGACAGCTACAAGAAAAGGGCTCATTTCCTGACAAATTAAAATGTATTTGAGGGCATGGCTGGCCTGGCCTTACTGTCATCTCAGTTTTGCATAAAGTAGTAGCTACCCCTTTGGGTAAAACTTTATCCCCTTCTGCCACCTGAAGCAAAGTTACTGGCTCAATAGCACCACTGGATTCACAGAGATTCTCCTAAATGCCTAGGCCTGTTTCACCTTTGATTCAGCCAAGGTGAAAACTGATGTTGCTGATAGTGCTTCTGCCACTTTGACCTCAGTGCCAGCAATGCTGGTCACTGGGATCAGTGGGCAGAAGTCAAGATTGTCCTCAAAGTTCTGGTCAATTGGGCTGAGGGGTAGGTTGTCTGGAGGGGCTATCTGCCATAGGCCCTAAGTGTCCAGCACATTCTTGCTCGGTGGGCCATTACTGCTCTTTGCTCAGGCCATTTCTGTGGGCTGTTTGTGTAGTGAACAACCTTAAGAAATAAGGTAACCCCCAAGCCCCCAACGCCACCAGCTCAACACTCCCTACGAAAGTAGTAGATTCCCTAAGTCCAGTATTCCTCAAATGTGCCACAATCGCACTGAATGCACAGCATCCATTTAAATCCATCTTTGTCACCTCTGCAAAATGCAAGGGAAATGCGGAATTGACACCAACCTCATGCTCATGCTGCTTGCTGTGTTATGAGTAATAAAATTCTCTGTTTCTGACATAGGTGTCTCCTGTATTCCGCCAACATCCATGAAATAGTGACAAGTTAATTTGTTAGTTTGCAAGTAGGGTAAAATCCCAGATCCTTCACAGACCCTCACTTCATGGAGACTGATGTAAGAGGAAAGCCCTATAGTTTCCAAAGGTCTTGGACAAGGGACTCTCTGAGTATGTGACATTCTTGGCTGGTTTGTATGCCTAACGTTTGACCTTCCCTAGGATACTTTGCTCTGTTACATTAATTCAGTTGTCCAGTCTTTCAATTGTTCCATCCCCCCGCCCCCGCCAAAGACATCATTATCCTGCACAAGACAATCATATCATTCTTTAAGAGTAATAATCACAACAGCAACAACTAATATTTAAAGAATGAGAGACATTGTTCTAAAAATTTGAGGCATTGTCCTATATGCTTTCTATAAGGTGCCATTTTACTCTTTAAAACAACCCTAATGAAGGGGATTCTGTCATCTCCAGCTTACAGAGAAGGAGACTGAGGCACAAGTCATAAGTTAGTCAGGGGTAGAGATGGGGTTCAAACTCAAGAAATGTAGCTTTAGCCCTCACATTTAACCACTCACTATACTGCCTCACAGTGGGACCTTCCACCGTCAGAGCCATCATGAACCACAGAGGCATAGAGATTTTAATTTGAAATCTTAGGATGGTAATTCCAGTCTAACTTTTAGCACTTGATTTTGGCATACAACACTTTAAAGTACTTTCTGACAACCTATATTGGGCAATTAGACGATCTTCTCTGCTTTGATCATTTATATATAAATCCAGTGTTAAGTTTTCATAATCTGTATTAGTTTCCTATTGCTACATAACAGATTATCAAATTTAGTGGCTTAAAACAACACAAATTTATTATCTTCCAATTCTGAAGGTCAGAAGTTCAAAATGGACTGGCGGGACTGCATTCCATCTGGAGGGTCTAGGAGGGAATCCATATCCTTGCCTTTTCTATTTTCTAGAGGCCAAGGTTCCTTGGCTCACGGTCCTTCACTCCATCTTCAATGCCAGCAGTATAGCATCTTCAAATCTCTCCCCACCCCTCTTCCTTTCTCTGGTCCTCTTGCTTCCCTCCTTCCCTTATAAAAACTCTTGTGATTACATTGGGCCCATCTAGGTAATCCAGGATAATCCAGGATCTTCTCCATCCCAAACTCCTTAACTTAATCACATTGCAAAGTCTCTTTTGCCATGTAAGAAAAAATATTCACAGGGGATCAGGATGCAGATATCTTGGGGGGGGGGGTATCATTCTGCCTACCCTACACTCTAAGTATTTGTCTCTTCATATATTATGGAAGTTTTTACACAAGTACCTGGATTGGAGAGTTTAAAAAGCTAATTCACCAGATAATTAATAATCCATTTCATCTTGGCTTTGAGAATGGAGCCTCAAGAGCATTTTACCTTTTGAGGTCAAAGAAAACATATTGCTAGGGCACATGCATTAGAAACTTTTCTGTAACAACATAAAATATTAATTATTTTAAAATGTACCTGAAGTCGAGCATTCATAAGCATGAACTCCTGTTGGATTTTCATGTTTTCATTCATAGATTTTGAAAATATAAACCCCATCTTGATCTAAAATATAAAAAAGCAAAGAGGCTTAAAACAATGTATTCTACATGCACCCCCACATGCTCTGCTTTGGGCTATCATGAATTTATGACAATGTTAAATAAAAGAAAAAACTTTGACCTCGCTTGGCAGTCATTTACTAATACCAGCTGAGTGAACTAGATGATTTCCAAAATCTTCTGCTCTAAAACTATATGGCTCCATGTTTTCTGCTTCTATTACCCATTATAAATCTTGAAGAACTGAAAACTTAAAAACACATCAACAGATAAAAACTGGGTATTTTTTGTGTGTGTGAGAAACAGGGTGAATACCACCTATCCTTTTACCTTCTGTACAGCTGGATAATAAATCCTTTTTTTCTGAGGAGGGATGATTCAGAAGGTACATTGTGCACTTTGAAGACAGATTTCTCTGTGCTCCTTGCATTTGCATTTTAGGAAGTTTTAAGTATCTCAAAGTCACTATATCAATACTCTTCTTGTTACCCCTGCCCCTCTCCCACATACCCCATATTTCCATCCACTCACTTCTGACATCCTTTGGCCATTTTCCTCTAGTTTCACCTTTGTTTTCTTAAAGCTACTACTGAAGTTATCAAGGGGGGAAACATAAGGATAATTAAATGTCCTGGGAAACACAATTTTTGAATGAGTATATGGTACTATCTCTTATTTATCTTAAGAAGTTCTTAAGTGGGCTGCCAATTCTAGGTAAGTCAAAACTCCAATTTTTTGTTCTTAATCCAATTGGGTAGGTACAAAAGACTTTCAGTTGTTGACCTTTACTTTCAGGATGCAAAACTCAAGGACATTGCAATTTCTCTACCCTCCTCAAGAATGTTGCTGATTCTCTTTGGTAGGCTGTTGGGCAGGGTTGTGAACCTTGGGTCAGAGTGGCCAGTACTAATGCTTTCTACCCAGGATTCACGTATTCCATGGGAAGACATCAGAGCTCCTATTTACCATATCCATATTCCTATCAGGAAATCTTGGCTAAATGGGAAGAAGAATGGAGGGAGAGCATTTCATGCCAGGTGGAATCGGTTATCCCTGCTAATTAGGGCTTCGGGTGAGTGGGAACTGCAAGCCAGACTTCAGTGGCTTTCCTGTGTTCTGCCAAAGACCCACCCTGGAATTACAGGGTCCTCGGATCCAGAGGCAGCCTCAGTGTTGGGAACAGGAGGCCAATCACTCACCAGAGAAAGATGCACAGCCCTAAATAGGCCTGGGAGGTAATGAGGTTTCCCTCCCGCTCAGCCACTATCCCAACTCACTCCATCCTGTGACCAGAATTGGGGGCCACCTGCTGAGAGTGGGGAGATCTAGCATAAGTTCTCTCCTTTCTGCAGACTCTGACAGTCCCATATCATTTGTCTCCAGCAGCAGATCAGAACTTGCCTAATGGCAGAAGCAATGTATGATCCATCTCGGCAGTCTCATGGTGGATCTTTCCAATAAAACATTGCAGAAAGCAATAAGCAATACAAGAGAAAGGGTAGCTCAGGTCACTTGCTATTTCTTATTTCTCTTCTGTTTATAGGAGTGGATGATTGACTTTAAAATATGTTGCAAAAATTTTTAAAGGAAACAATTGCCCTCTAATCCCATTCATATACATATACACAGTATGTCACAGAGCTGTATCTTACAGTGCTCCTATTTATTAAGGGGTGGGACCTCCCCTGAAGTGTGGGGAGAGTCCTTATGTCAACCATCTGGGGAAGAGAAACTTGTCTGGAAAGTTAGGGATTATGTTTACCTCTTTCTGGGCCTTGTCCTCTTGGGTCTAGACTGTGGTCCTCAGGGGAGATCACACCTGAAAATGAGTGTACAACACCTTATAAAGTATACTCTGGAGTTCAGTATTTTCAACTTTTACCACCATAACAAAGCCATTTTCCAAAATCTGGGAAGTTTCTTTAGGTGTTCAGAATACTCTCCATCTTCTCTCTCCCATTCACAAAATATGTATTAGAAAAATGATGACAATAGTTCATACCACTGTATGATATATAGGAAAGTTGTTAAGAGGGTGAATCCTAATAGTTCTCATCACAAGGAAGAAAAATTTTTTCTTTTATTGTATCTATATGAGATGATAGATGTTAGCTGAACCTATTGTAATAATCATTTCACAATACAGAAGTCAAAACCATCATGCAGAATCCTTAAACTTATGCAGAGATGTATGTCAATTATTTGTCAGTAAAACTGGGGGTGGGGAGTACATAAACAAGAGTGATCTTGCAATATGGATAACGTGTGAGGTAAGTTACCTCAGTGTATAACGTAAGTCCTTCAAAAATTCCAACACTTTTATCATTGCTGAAAAATCTCTCGATACTTAGAACTTAGACACCAGTGTGTCTCAGAGGGCTGAGAATACGGATTTGAGTTCCTTCTGCCCTTATTTTTCCTTTGATTACTTCTGAGATCTTAAAAAAGGACTCTTCATTGTTACAGCCCTGTCTCGGCTGTGCTAGAGATTACAATGGGAAGGGTTATTTCTGTCTGAGGAGGGTTGAGGCTGGATTTCCAGACACCCCTGGGAACCTTGTGTGATGATACTTGTAAAAATGAAAGAAGATAATCCCATTACTCACAACTCTGTCATCCAAATTTCTATGCTGACTCACTTCCTGATCAAATTACACATTAACTACCTACATTTATGACTGGTTTCATAATTATAGTCATTTTCAAGAAGCCTTGCGTTCCATTTGAATTAGCCCACTTCCCCTGCAAATTCCAGCCCGGAACCCATTGCTTCCGGGAGGTTTTCCCTAATTTAACTCCATCCGCCTTTCCTGGACCTAATTACTGTAACTTGGATATTTCCTAAATGGTATGCTGATTTCTTTTGATAATGTTCTATACTTCCCGGCTCGATTGCAATCTTACGGGAAAGGCCTGGAGTCCTTGTGACTGGATCTGACTCCAAAATGAAGTTGGCGATACCTCTCAGCACTAGCGGCAGGAAGCGAGCCAAGGGCAGGCGTTCAAAAGTAGCGTGCACGCAGCGCGGCCCTGCAATCCGCAGCCTGGCAGCTTAGCTCCTGAACACGCGGATCCGTGGACCCGAGCTCTCCACCAACCTGTCGCTACCCGTTCCCCCACGGCTGGCGCTTACTCACTTGGCAGAGCGCGGCAGAGGCGCGGGAACACAGGTGATCGCCGCAGAGGCCTTAAGGTTCAGGGTCCCCTGAACTGCCGCAGAAAACCTGCCTCGCCTGGCGGATCGGCTTGCCAAGACAGTGGATTCCGACCCTCAGCCAATCAGCGCAGTTGTTAGCTTCCTTAAAGGTCCCGCTGCCCGATTTAGGCCTACGGCGTTCTTCTACACCTGACACCTAGACGGGGGAGGTCAAAGAGGACAAATCAAAACTGCCGCTACTGTCAGATTTTGAAGGAAGGCAAAGGAAGCAGAACGAGTCTCACTTAAAGGCTTAACTGAGCTTTGTCACTCAAAGCGGCGGGGGGCGGGGGGGGGGGGGTCCAACCTTTTGGCATCTCTGGGCCACACTGGAAGAACTGTCTCGGACCACACATTAAATACATTGTGACACATAATCACAAGAAAACCTCATAATGTTTTAAGTAAATTTACAATTTTGTGTTGGGCTGCATTCATACCATGCTAGCCCTCAAGTTGGACACCGCTGCTGGATGGACTTCAGTGAGCTATCTTACTCTTAGTCTCCAGAAATGGTACCAACCACCATTGTCTGATCTGTTTCCAGGAAGAGAATATATCTCGCGAAAGGTTATCACAAACATATAATCCTCACTTATAAACATCTTTAGGGCTTTTCTACTTGCAGAATAGGTTTAATGTTGAAGGTGGACTGGAAGCCAAAAAATGAAGGAGACAGGTGGATAGAGTTTATAGAGGTGAGCCTCCTAGGGACAAAGACTGATGGGGCAAATTGGAAACATCCAGCACAACTTTTTTACAACCTTGGGTTTATCATTTATGAAAGTCCTGGTTCAAAGGGAAGAAATGCCACCACCAGGGGGCTCAGCCATGATTCTACTGAATTGGAAGCCGAAATTGTCCCCTATTTTGGATTCCCATGGTGATAGAATTGGGATGACTGATTTCAATTGCTGAGGAGAAATTGGGTTGCAGCTATACAGTGAAGGCAAAGGGAACTGTGCATGACACCCGAGATTCACGGGGCAAGTCTTAATACTCCCATCTACAATAATAATGATCATTAGATAAATTCAGTAAACTGATAAAGTCAGGACCACTTAAATTTCAGACCATGCAGAAAGTGAAGTGTTGCATCACCACACCAGGTAAAAAATGCTGATTTACTGCCCTGGCTACTGTGGCTCCATTGGAGCATCAATCAGTACATCAAAAGGTCATGAGTTCGATTCCTGGTCCGGGCACTACCTACGTTGTGGTTTGGTCCTCCCTTGGAGAGGAGAGTGCATATGTTTCTCTCTTACATTCCTCTTTCTCCTTCCCTTCCTCACCCTCCCTTCCCCTCTCTCAAATATCAATAAGCATTTACTCTGCTGGAGAAAAAAAAATCCTGATCTACCAAGGTAGTGCATAGGGCAAAGGAAACATAAGTGAATGAAGTAGGAAGCTTTGATTATCATTTTTAGCCTAGCAACAAGCTGTAAAGTCAGGGACTATTGTATCTCTGCATTTAAAATGTTAACTGGTTTTATCTTCCCTTCCCTTCCTTCCTTGTTACTTTTTATGAAGAGTATTGGTGGAGATAAATATTATAATTTAGGTTCTAGGTCAGAGCATACCCAAACATCATCTCAAAGAAATCTGATGGTAAGATTTTGTGATTCTCAGGTGTAGGGGATAAACTTCTCCTCATTTGAGGAAAGGGCAAGAATAAATCCAGTGTGGCAAAGCAGGTATATTATCTGGGTTTTCTGTTTGCCTTCCCTCATATTTACTTTCCTCCCTGTCCCCCCTTATTCTTTACTCCAGAAGCTGATCTCTTTAGAAAACATCATCTGGGCTCTTCTCAGTTGCTTTCCATTTGTGTTTGAGCAATGGAAGCATCCACAGGAGATTGGAAGCAGGAGAAAAGAGAGGTAGAGTACATTTTATCCATTCTTTCTGTTTTGGGGTAAGGATCGGGCAGTGGCTGTGTCTCTCCACAACAGCAGCTCTTAACCAGGGGTCCTTCCTCCATGGCTCCAGCTCACACAGTTCTGGAAATGCTTTCCTCCCTTGCTTTTTAGCCTAGAGATGATATGGGCTTCCTGCTGTTGAACCAAGACTCTCTCAACTTGGTGGTTCTTAACCTCATCTTAATGTTTGACATCCCTCAACGGGATTGTTCTCTTAACCCTACCATGCCCCTTTACATAGTGTCTCCATTAATCTCTCTCTCTCTTTTTTTTATTTTTCAAATACATTTGTCTCCATTTTCCCACCACCACTTTCCCCTGCCCCATCCACCCCCCACTCTCAATCCTTCCACACTTTCACTTTGTCCTTGGGTCCTTTATACATGTTCCTTGACTTGACCCTTCCTCTTTTTTTCCCCGTTAACCCCCTTCCTCCTCTCCTCTCATTACTGATGGGTTTGTTTTTTCTTTTAATGTTGCTGGTTGTATTTTGCTTGCTTGTTTATTTTGTTGATTAGGTTCCACTTCTACGTGAGATCATATGATATTTGTCTTTCACCCCCTGGCTTAGTTCACTTAGCATAAGGCTCTCCAGTTCCATCCATGCTGTCTCAAAGGGTAGTAGCTCTTTCTTTCTTTCTGCTTCATAGTATTCCATTGTGTAAATGTACAATAGTTTTTTGAACCACTCATTCATTGATGGACACTTAGGTTGCTTCCAGAACTTGGCTATTGTAAATTGTGCTGCTACAAACATTGGGGTGCATAGGTTCTTTTGAGTTGGTGTTTTGGGATTCTTAGGGTATAATCCCAGCAGTGGAATTGCTAGGTCAAAAGGCAGTTCCATTTTTAGCTTTTTGAAGAAATTCCAAACTATTTTCCACAGTGGCTGCACCAGTCTGCATTCCCACCAGCAGTGTACTAGGATTCCCTTTTCTCCACAACCTCGCCAGCACTTGTTTGTTGATTTGTTTATGATGGCCATTCTAGCCTGTGTGAAGTGGTATCTCATTGTGGTTTTAATTTGCATTTCTCTGATGGCTGGTGTCTCTGGGCACTGTGTATGTCCTCCTTGGAGAACTGTATGTTCAGGTCCTTTGCCCATTTCTTAATTGGATTGTTTGTCTTACTGGTATGAAGTCATGTGAGAGTTCTTTATATATTTTGGAGATCAAACCTTTGTCCAAGGTATCATTGGCAAATGTATTTTCTCCTACAGTTGGTTCCTTTTTCATTTTGCTGATGTTATCTTTAGTCATGCAGAGGCTTCTTATTTTGATGAAGTCCCATTTGTTTATTCTGACCTTCATGTCCCTTGCTCTAGGGGACGCATTGGTGAAAATATTGCTGCATGGAATATCTGAGTTTCCTGCCTATGTTCTCCTCTAGGACTTTTATGGTGTTGCGACTTATATTTAAGTCTTTTATTCTTCTTGAATTTATTTTTGTGTATGATGTCAGTTGGTGGTCAATTTTCATTTTTTTGCATTTACCTGTCCAGATCTCCCAACACCATTTACTGAAGAGGTTATTTTTATTCCATTTTATGCTTCTGCCTCTTTTGTCAAATATTAATTGACCATAGAGACATGGGTTTATTTCTGGACTTTATTCTGTTCCATTGATCTACATGTCTGTTCTTATGCCAGTACCAGACTGTTTTGATTACAGCGGCCTTGTAATATAGTTTGATGTCAGGTATCATGATCCCACCTACTTTGTTCTTATTTCTCAAAATTGCTACAGCTATTTGGGGTTGTTTATGGTTCCATATAAATTTTTGAAATGTTTGTCCTGTATCTGTGAAATATATCATTGGTATTTTAATGGGGGTTGCGTTGAATCTATAAATTGCTCTGGGACATTTTAATGATGTAAATTCTTCCAATCCATGAACACGGTATATTCTTCCATTTCTTTATGTCTTCTTTAATTCCTTTCTTCAGTGTTGTGTAGTTTTCTGAGTACAGGTCTTTTACCTCCTCAGTTAAGTTTATTCCTAGGTACTTTATTTTTCTTGTCGCTATAGCAAAGGGGATTTTTTTCCCTTAAATCTCCTCCTGATATTTCATTGTTGGTGTACAAAAATGCCTTCGATTTCTGAATATTGACTTTGTATCCCGCCATTTTGCCCAATTCACTTATCAGGTCATATAGTTTTTTGATGGAGTCTGTGGGGTGTTTTATGTACATTATCATGTTTGCAAACAATGACAGTTTTAATTCCTCTTTTCCAATTTGGATGCCTTTTATTTCTTTTTATTGTCTGATTGCTGTGGCTAGGACTTCCAATACTGTGTTGAATGGAAGTGGTGAAAGCAGACAACCTTGTCTTTTTCCCCATCTTAGTGGGAAAGCTTTTTGTTTTTTCCCATTGAGTATGATGTTGGCTGTAGGTTTTTCATATATGGCCTTTATCATGTTGAGATATGCCCCCTTTACTCCCACTTTACTGAGTGTTTTTATCATAAATGGATGCTATATCTCATTAAATGCTTTTTCCACATCTATTTATATGATCATGTGGTTTTTGTCTTTACTTTTGTTTATATGATGTAATACATTTATTGATTTGTGAATATCGAAAGAAACATCCTTGCATCCCTGGGATGAATCCCACTTGATCATGGTGGATGATCTTTTTAATGTATTGCTGGATGCAGTTTGCCAATATTTTGTTTAGGATTTTAGCATCTATGTTCATCAGCAATATTGCCCTGTAGCTTTCTTTCTTTGTTGTGTCTTTACCTAGTTTTGGAATGAGGATGATGCTGGCCTCATAAAAAGAGTTTGGGAGACTTCCCTTTCTTGGATTTTTTGGAATATCCTGAGAAGGACAGGAATTAGCTCTTCCTTAAACGTTTTGAAAAATTCTCCTGTGAAACCGTCCACTCCACAGCTTTGTGTGCTGGGAGTTTTTTGATTACTGCTTCAATTTCACCAGCTGTTATTGGTCTGTTCAGGCTTTCTCCTTCTTCATTCAGTGTTGGAAGGCTATATTTTTCTAGGAATTTGTCCATTTCACCCAGGTTTTCAAATTTCTTGGCATATCATTGTTCATAGTAATTTCTTACACTCCTTTGTATTTCTGTGGTATCAGTTGTAGTTCCTCCTCTTTCATTTCTGGTATTATTTATT